CAGGTTTTTCTGTCTTCAGACATTCCTGTAATTTATGTAATGGGTTAATAAACTGGATTATTCTTCCAATAACCACAGATTATCTCAAATCAAACTTTATTTATAAATCACATTTAAAACAACCAGGGCTGACCAAAGAGCTGCACAGGAATCACAGTTCAGGAACAAAAGATAAAAACTAAAGGCTAAAATACATAAACGCATAAAATAAAATAGGATAAATGTTTCAATTAAAATACATTTTAGAATAAAATAAAAATTTAAAATACAATTTTGCCGAATGTCCACTTAGACATGATTAAAAGCCAGGGAGAAGAAATGTGATTTTAAAGAGGATTTAAAAACCTCAGAGGAGCTGCTGATCTAATCTGCCATAAAGACTCGATCACCTTTGGTTTTAGGTCTGGTTTTAAGTCTGGTTTTAAGTCTGGTTTTAGGCATCGCCACTAGCAGCTGATTAGAGGATCTCAGTGTTCTGGATGGATTTGGAGAAGCTCAGTCAAATTCTGGGGGGTTAGACCATTAAGAGCTTTAAAAACAAACAATAAAATGTTTAAATCTATACTAAAAACAAGCGGTAACCAGTGCAGTGAGGCTAGAACAGGTGATCTCTGGTCACGTTTACCTGTGCCAGTAAGGAGACGGGCAGCTGCATTCTCTACCAACTGCAGACGGTGTGAAAGTGAGCGGTCCAAGCCAGCATAGAAAGAGTTAAGTAATCCAATCTAGTATTAATAAAAGCAGGATTAAAGTCTCCAGATCTTTTTGTGGCAGCTTCCCTTTCAGTTAAAAAAAAAATCTTACCTTGTAAAAGTTGTTTTTTACAACCGAACTAACCTGGCGATCAAATTTCAACCTGACATCAAGTATTATACCAAGATTTTTTTACTGATGATCGAATGTTGGGTGTTAATGGTGTTAATTAAGTTAATGAATAATCTTTGGAATAATCTGTGTTTCCAGCAGCATTCAGTTCAAACTCTTGTACTTTTTCTTCCAAATCCAACAAAGGGATTAAATTCATTCATATCTGATCAAATGAAGTTTGATGGTTAAAAAGTTTGGAGTTAAAATGAAAACATTCAAATCCAGGAAGCTGGATTGGGATCAGGTCTGTGATCACATGGTGTTCTATTGGCCAATGAGAGGCTGTCTGTCACCTGGATTACAGCCCAGCATCACCTGCAGCCGGGACCTAAGGCTCCCTGCTGGACTCCAACCGTTGGCTCCAGGTAGGCAGACCTGTCAACCACCAAGTCCTTGTCTTCTGTTTGCTTTGAGGTCTTTACTAAAACAGGTCAGGTTTCCTGTTTAGCTGCAGAAACATATCTGAGTGGACCTGGATCTGACCTGCAGCTCTGCTGCTGTTCGATCTGCTCTACCAGCAGATGGCTAACACAGATTAGCGGCTAAAAGCAGATTAGGTCCACTTCTCAC